GTCTACTTTTTATCGGTATTCGTCACTTTCTTATATATTACTCTATATATCGATACTTCTGTGCACGGTATCGATACCTACCGATAAACTAAGTTTGTTGATTGTTAAATTTTTTAATATTTCTTTATGTTTTTCACCTACAACATTATTATCACTTAATATTTCCGATAGCGCTAAATCGACTTTATTAAATATCTTATTAAATTTTCGGTCACACCGTTTCTTAGCCGTATATTAATCCGCATATTTTGAGACAATCCCACTTAATATAAATTAAATGTTATTAACCTAAACAAACCCCCAAGGATTTACATCAGTTTCCCAATTTTTTTGACCCCTGAAATTGAAAGGGTCTCTCTCTCCAACCCAAAGCAAAAACCTTTGCTTTTTGTTTACTCTTAATCTGGTTTTATTTTATGCACAGAATTACAATTTAGATTCAACCACCATTCACTGATTTGAATCACACAACTCCAAATTCCCGTTTGTTGTTAAATCTCCAAATAAAGGCTTCTTTTTATTTTTGCTTGATCTTTTCTTCTTTTCCCTTTTAAAATTTTGTAAAAAAGACCTTTATTTTTGCAATGGGAAAATGAGGAAGGTGGCAGTTAGGGTGGCGGTGGTGTGTGGGATAGCGGTGGCAGCGGCAGCGGCGGTCATTCATCGGAAAATGAAGAAGTCAGGGAGGTTCGATTCCGAGGCTGAGACAAGTGGCCGAGGCCATGATTGTGGTGATGCATGCTGGCCTTGCCTCTGAAGGTGGCAGCAAACTCAAGATGCTCATCAGCTATGTTGACAATTTGCCTACTGGGTATTTCATTTTCTTTTGGTTGTGCATTTACTTGATCTGTTTTGTAACTTTTGTTTGGATTTTATCACACTAGAGACAATTGTGCTTTATTTCTTTGAGTTCATGTATTACCCAAATTACATTTCCTTTGTAAGGAATATTTTTTATTCCGTAGCTTCGGATTACATTTCATGGAATGAAGCACGTTCACTTGTTTCTATTATATTTTAGAAACTTCATCAGATATTTGTGCCTTTTTATATACTTAAAGATGTGCCTTTTGCATCGTATTAAAGAATGGCGATATTTGAGCTATGCAGAACACCTGTCATGTCAGCAATGCATCGGGACACTTCCCCTGACCTGAAAGTAGTAGCCAGTAATTTGAAAGATGTTCTTGAGGTATACTCTAACCTTGTGAAAATTCTGCCGATGTTATTTTTATCAGCAAAACTTGGTCATTTTGCTTCTTCTTTTTTCTCCTTTGCCTATGACCTTGTATCTCGACAGAACTTCTCTGGAAATCTGATTCTCTTCATGGACTCGTGGTCTTTTGCAAAACTTGTTTATACTATTCTTTGTGTTCCAGATATCAAATACTTCCCTGAAGATGAGAAAGATAATTGTTGAGCTTTGCAACCTTGTTGCCACACGTGGCGCACGTCTTTCGGCTGCTGGGGTACTAGGGATTCTGAAGAAAATGGGGAGAGAAAACAGAAAACAGTGATAGCTATGGATGGTGGACTATACGAGCACTATTCGGAATACCGCAACTGCTTTGAGAACACCCTAAATGAATTTCTAGGAGAAGAGATATCTCAAACCATTACGATTGAGCGTTCAAACGATGGTTCTGGCATCGGAGCTGCCCTTCTTGCTGCTTCCCATTCACAGTATCTTGAAGTATACGAGTCCTGGGAGCAGTAAGGAGCTGGTTCTGCCATTCTTTTAAAGAAACTTGCAAGAAATCGTGGCGGTTCTATCCACAATTTACTTTTTTTTCATTCTGGGGGATTAGACATTTCAATTCATGTCTCTGGTAATTGAGGGCATTAAATAATTGCTTGCAGTGCAGAGTACTCAATGAGGCGGATTAAATGTATAAATGCAGGACTTGGAAGCGCGAAATCTTCAGCTTCGGCCTGTGCCTTGCTTCTATTTACCATTTTTGTTTTATTCTGTTACTGTTAGGCCTGCAAATAATTGTTTTTCGAAACTGAATTCATATAAGTATATTCGGATGCAACCATTTCTGCTACATTTTTGTTTAGTGATAATTAATATGGTTCGGTGCCTGCAAACATCTTCTCACTGTATTTCACATTGCCTACTATATAACCCGCTCAAAATAAAATCGACAGATGTACTTTCCATACTATACGTTCTCTGCTTTAAGTTTATTACATAAAGAATAGCAATTTGTTGAGAGGAAGAAGATGGTCAGTTACGTAAACATGTATGGGAGAAATTAAACGGAAGAGTTACTAATGACTAGGGAGTATCAGCATTGTCGTCGTCAGTCCCAGAGAACAGATCGGTGCAAAGCTCCCCATAGAATCGAGAAACCAAGTCTATGAACACAGGGCTGGTCAAGTTCTTCCAACAATATAGCAGCTCCTCCACATCCATCAAATCGCTCACTTTCCCTTCTTCAACAATCATCTCAACTAAATAATTCTCGAAACTCCTGCATGCATCTTCCACGTCAGATGATGCCCTCTTCCTGGAACCTCCTCCGACCTTCATATAGCTAGCAGGCGTAAGCGGAGAGGAGAAGAGCAGCATATCCCTGTTGCATCCAGCTGCCTCCGAAATGCTTCGAAGCTCTGCATCCATCTTCCTCCTCGGTCTTAGTAACCGAAAGATGGATCGTAAACTTGATTGAAGGGCTTTTCTAAGCCTGAACCTAAGAGGTCGTATAAATACTGGCCTTTTAAGCTTGAACTTGAAGATTGGGACAAGTTTCTTGCATGGGTTTAAAAACTTGGATTTGAAGGGAATTAATGATTTCATTTTCGGTTATACACAATGATTGCTATAAAGAGAGTGCTTAATTTTGAAGGAACGCAGCAGGAATGGGATATGGAAGCTTGTAATTAGGTTTGAGAAGACATCCCCATGCTGCTTATATTGTATGTATGGTATGGTGGGACTCACGTTGTTATTTTTATCATCAAAGTGAAACTCCGTCAACTATTTGTTTTTTGGGTAAACTGCACTGGAGGTTAACTATGCTCAAATGATCGTTTTGGGTGTTGAACTTTCAAAAATTACAAAATAATCATTGAAATTGTCAAATTTTTATAAAATGGTTAAAAAATTTAATGAATTTTTATAAAATGATCATTAAATCTATCCAAATTCTACAATTATAACATCATAGTGACCATATGGTAACAATTTAATAAAATTATTGACTATTTTATGAATTTTAAAAGTACAATGACTAAAATGACCATTTAACCATAGTTAAATAACTTTTTGTATAATTTACCTTTTTATATATATTGATTAATCTAGGGTGATTATAAGTGGTACTATTTGTTGTAAAGACTCAATCATTTGACAATGAACGCTCAACTACTCTGACAATCGTTGGTGCTCAAATCCGAAACCTCTAAGAATAACAATTATTTCTTTAATCACTAAGATCATTTGATTTGTGCTATATATATATATATATATATATATATATATATATATCGTGGATTACATTTCAATCCTTGTAAATTAAAAATTAGCACAATGATTATTGTACCTTAGAAAAGCAGCAAAATATTCATTTTGGTAATAGTTGGAAATTTATTAATTTTATAAATTATAGGCACTTTAATAAATGATATGGTATTTAATTGAATATATGGTTTGATATATTTTATGTAACTCGTTGCACGTTAAAAAATTCAAGCTAATACATTTAATTGATTAATAAAATATAAAACTAGATCAGATTAAATGTAGTTGATTGAGTATTTTAAACTACAATAAATCAGATTAATATGATATATTATTTAATAATGTTACTTAAGAATTTAGGTTTTTTATTTATTTAAACATATCATATGATATAACTCGTTGCATGTTCAATTGATTTTTTTTCATAAGGGTGTTTTGGACATTTAATCTTTAATTTATCAATTAGTCTAAATTATTATTAAACTAAATTGATTAATATGTTCTAAATACGAACATGTGTCATTCCATGCCCCCAAACTAATGGATAATTTGACAATAGGTATTAACCTAGCGTGATATGCCGTAACAACACAATATTTCACTAAAAATATACGATAATGACGTTCACATTTCTTTGTTATCAACCAAAGGTCATAGTTGTTGAAAATATTGTAAATATAAAATTTTGGACGTACTAAAATAAATATAAAAATACATCAAGATGTTAAAATCGCAAATTTCTATCACCTGTACTTTTGACATTTTGCAATTGCAAGATAGGAAATAAGTTTCTTTTACAGTCATATCCGCTAAGACAATGCGAATTAGCCGGGGTTAGTTGAATGTTTTGCTACACACAAGGAAAATTGTAATAAAAAATTAGTATTTAATGATGAAAATATTGAAACAAGCCCTCGAAAGTTCCAACCGTACAAGCATTTGACAAACCCATGCAGTATTTAATCAGTGTCAAAAAATTGGGAAACCAAGTCAGATGGCCAAGTTTACAAGTTAAAAGGACATGTCCGTCCATTGTTTTGGTCAAAGAAGCACACGCGTTAATGACCCTACCAAACTCTGGATTTGGATTAAGGGCAAAGCGACGCGACATGTGGCCGCGACCGCGCACGTGCATTTTGCCTTCCCACAGGCTCCAAATGGAATTAGATTAGGTTACAAGTCTTAATTTTGGGCCCAAAGTTAGGCAGCTCCTAATGATGATGACCCTTCAACCTTTTTTTCTTCTAAAATAAATATTTTGTCCTTGAACTTTGATTAAGCTCGACTTTGATAGTAAGAAAACCAAACAATACATGAACTGTTGGACAGGTTTGGTCGTTGATGAAACAATGGTCAAAGAATCATGGGACCATACCAAAAGTGATCATGAGCTATGGGGTCGGTCCTTTTGAACAGAAAAAGAGCCAAGGACAGTGGCATTGATGTAGGGGGGGGGGAATACATAGAAAACTGGTGATATATACAGCGAGTGAAAGGCCAAACAGGGAACAAAATGTGAATACATTAAAACAGAATTCAAAGCCTCATCTTCAAACTGTATCCAACTGTGAAAAACAAGCACCACCAGTTTCGTCAATGAAAGCAACGGCAAAGCTAATTAACAAGAAGGAAAAACAACTGATAATAAATCAACAGTCACGGCTGTGGGCAGAAAGTTCCGAGCTCTTCAACACGCGCAGCCTCTGCGCTGTTGACACAAACATGCTACAAGCAAAAACCAGTTCAGATTAAGCACACCATCTAACATACATACATGCATACATCAACGGTTAAGACATTAAGAATGAAATGCTTTGATAAGATGCTTACTGCCACGGGACATCCCCAACAAGCATCCTGTCTCCTTCGTTATCTTCATATACCAGTGTATATTCCCCACTTCCATCCAATAAACCCGTGATCGCTTTCTCCTCCTCCACCTTCTTCAGTATTCCACCACCACAGGAATCTCTTTGAGCTACACACAAACACATGACATTAACAATATTACAATTAGCTAAAGAGTTGTAAATATTATTCATTGAAGATTTATCTACCCGCAAGGAGGCCTCTGAATAATTCATCAACAGCTGCAGACAGTTTCTCGTAGCTGTCGTAAGCTTTGAGATCGACTTTCCTTCCTATGGGAACTCCATCCATGTTGATTTTCACAAATTTGGCACTCTGTTCAGCAGCCTTTTTCTCACCAGCATCCTTGTGTGGTGGTTCAGCAGCCTTTTTCTCACCAGCATCCTTGTGTGGTGGTTCAGCAGCTGGTTTTAAAGAGCTGCTGCTTGCAAGATTTTTCCTAAAGGAGCGAATTGGAGGCCAACCTACTACCGGACCAGAAGCAGTTCTGTTTTTCCATTACCATAATAGCCATACAATTAGACCCCCAAATAAAAGTTAAAGCATTTACTACAAGAATATGTTAAGAGCCATCATGAATGAGCAGGTCAATAACAATAAATGATGTTATCTAAAAACAGCTGAAAAAATGTAAAATTATGAACTAAAACAACAAAATATGCAGGGACATGTATGAATAGATTAAGAAAAAAAAACAAATAACAAAGCAATAAGCTAATCTCGTGACTTGTCAGTGAATATCCTCTGTCAAGAAGGTTTTTTTAAAAAAATAAAAGAAAGTAAACACATAAATTAAAGAGATGCAAATAGACATATAGAGATTAGAGAGAGATGTAATAAAATGCTGGAGTACCTTTTCTGAGAAGTGTAGGGAGAACCAGCTGTATTATAACTAGGTGAAAATGGTTGTTTTTCTGCATTCTGAATGTTCACCACTTTAGTGCAACAGGGCTGTGATGATTCCTTTGCCATAGCAGGCGAGCTCTGTCGGGGTGTTGATTGGAACGGAAGAAATGGAGGATGGTTTGTCAGCTGTTGATAGTGGTTTTTGGTCCATGATGGGGACAAAACTGACCCGACCTGGTGGTCGTGGTTGTGGTCCTCTGGAGATGGAAACTTGTGTGATTGTTTGCTGCTGTTCTTTGAAGACAAGTACCCGAGTGAGATCACACGCTCGTCTCTCTCCCCGTTGTTTTTAGCTGTACCGTTGATGGACCAGTTATCTTCATCACCTGGGGGACCAAGCCTCAGTTCCAGCTTCTTCTCTTCTGATGAAAGACTAGTTTCTTCATCTTTTCTCTTCAAATGCCACTCTCTTTCTTGAGGTATCAAGTCCAGAAGCCGAGGACATGTTTCCCCATTCTTTGAGCTCTCCATCACAACAAAGATATCACCTTTTTCTTCTGGATAGCAATAACTAGCAAACTGAAAAAAGAAAACAGATGTGTTCAAGATTTAGAAGCTAAAGAAGAAGAAAAAAACACTAGAACAAATGTACAGAACAAAACTACTAATGAATATCCAAAGACAGAAACTAACCTTAAAACTTAAACCGAGTCACTCAACCAAATTTCAGAACAATAAAAAAAAAGCTTCGTGAAAACTAGAAAACTTGGGGTAGGAAACGGAAAGAAGCAACTCTAAATATCTTAGCTAACAACGCAAGAACTATCCCGCTCCTTAAAACAAACACCTTTAAAAAAACTTTTCATAATGGAAAACCCCACCAACAGAAAGAAAAGAGTGTTTTAAGCAACTCAGACAGCAAGGATAGATAAAGAGGGGTGGGTTCTTTTGGCTATTGGCACGCTTAAGTGGGTTCGTGTTGCTGTCTTTTTCTCTGTTGTTTATAGGAGTCGATGATAGAAAGGTGATTTTGTATAGGTAAATCGAGGGGATGGGGGGCATAAAAAAAGAAGATAAAAACCAGCAAGAGATTCCCTTTTCTTTTACTGAGGAACCCCAAACATGAAACAGGGAAACAGGAATAAGAAGCACAGGTCACGCAACGAAACCCACATCCCTCCACGAGGCTGCTACTTCAACACCAGTCCCCATTACTTAAATAAAAAACCACCCCTTTAAACGTTAGGTTGTTCAGCTCAGGAAGCAAAAGCAGTGACCATAGAGCCTAACATAAACAAAGCGTGCTGTTGCTAACCTACTCAAACATACTCTTTTTTAACTCTTCCCTTCCTCTCCTATCTCTCTATGTTTAACCAACTTCTTTTCTTAAGGGTAAATTGCCTATTTGGTAACTCAACTACTATCATATTTTACTTTGACCACTAAATTATCTTTTTAAGTAAACTCATCATTAATATTATATTTTTAGTTACTAAGAGTTAAAGAATTAACGTAAGTATTAATATGATCTCTTTTTAATTGGTATAATAACATAATCTAATTGGAATTTGAAACACCACAATCATCCCTTCTCTTCTTCCACAATCTAATTGACTTAGATTTTCTTTCAACAGGCTACTCCTTTTCTTTTGAGAATAATTTTAATTCTTGGACTGAATTATATATGGTAACTTGTTTGATCTGATATGAAGATTTCAACACAATAACAGTGAGTTGCTGCAATAGAGGAATTGGGAATGTGATTTAATCTAGAGATGATGGCATGCCAATAGATGATTGATTGGAGTAAATGAAGGTTAGATTTTTAGAATAAAAAGGATGGATTGAGGTGGAGTGTCACGTGATAGTGAACATTTTTTCCCAACATAAATTAGTAAAAAAAAAAAAGAACTGAATTTAGTTAAGTTGATTTAAGATCGAACTCAATGTTATTGAAATAAATTTGTAGTGGTTGACAAAGGATGGTGATCATCATGTGTTTCAAGGATAAATTAATAAGATTTTTAAATGTTAAAAATTAAAATTATTGAATTATTTTAAATTATGATCAAATTGTTATAATGTATAAATTTTAAAGGTTAAAATATTATACCATATCATGTCACCCTCTACATTAAGTATTAATGGAAACTTAAAGGCTACAGACCGAAATAAGAAAATTGTATTGTTAGTGACAAGTTTATCAAATAATAATAATTTGATGGTCAAAGTATAAATGAAATAATAATTGGATGACTACATAAGAAGTTTTCTCTAAAATTTAGATTGGCCAATTTGGTGTTTATTTAAGGATTAATAAAAACAGGCATAATGTCAAAGTTAGTACCCAATATTTATCAAAATAGTCATTTTGGCTCCTATTATTTTTTGGAGCATTTTGACCCTCAATGTTTTACTTTAGGGAAAAAAAAGCCCCCTAACATTTGATATAATAGTCACTTTGACTTATAGTCTTTTTTGCTAAAGTATTTTGGCACTCAAAGTTTCATTTTAAGGTAAAAAATACTCCTATTTCGGTGCGTTCATGGTGTATTAACTAATGATTTTCATCTATAGAGGATCTTTTTGCTCCAAAAAAACTAGAATATGGGACAAAATGATCATTTTGGTAAACATTGAGGGGCTAATTTTGACTTTATGCATAAAAAGTACTCAAACTATACAACTTTTTTTCCATTTAGGTGCATAAACTTTTTTTTCGGCCATTATAGGTGCTTAATGTTATAAACATTACCATTTTAAGTGCATCAGCCTTAACAGACGTTAAAATTGTCGTTAAATAACACGTTTCACATTTAAATAATTTTAAAAATGTTATTTTAAAAATACTCAAACATATTTTTATTTAAAAATAATAATTTCTCTAAAAAATCCCTGAAAAATCAACTCTAAGATCCTAAACAATAAACTTATCAACTCCCTTACTGACCACAACCGCCACTACCCTTGCGATCTCCCTTGTCGGTCATCATCGTTGAGATGGTCGTCAGGTGTTGCGATATGTATCTTTGTTGTTCGTCAATTTTAACATTCGTTGACTCTTGTTTTGATGGTTGTTCGTTGGATAACTAATTATCAAGTGGAGGTGCAGTCATATGAAGATTTGACCGACAACAACAATAACAGTAACAATTGGCTTAATCAATAATTAATTAAAATAAGATAAATTATACCAATAATCTCTTTTATTTTCAATTTGACTAATTTTAATCACTAATTTTTAATCAAGTGCGCTTAGTCCCTTTTGTTTTCACTTTACAGACAACAAAGTTTTGCCGAATTTGTTCTTTGGCGTCGGGAAGAAAAGTGATAATGTACATTTTTTTCCAGTTGTAAGGATAACTTCTGATCTCTGGTTCTGAACATCTGGTTGGTCCTTTGTAGTACTAAAACTAGAGTTTAGAAACCAAGACATTAAAAGAAACCCCATTAAACAGGTGGAGAAGCTAGCTTCGTTCATGGGGAAACCATTTGTTAGTTATAAAGAGGTTGAAGATGTTATATGACGGTGTTGTTTGGAGAAGTTGAAGAATTTGGAGGCGAAAAAAATGCGTGTGAGATGAGTCAACGTTTGAAGAAATTACAGAAGAAGAGGAAGAAGATGAGGTGAGTCAACGTTTGTACAAAGATACCTGTTTTTTTGTTTTTTGTTTTGTTTTTAATTGTCAATTCAGATTTCTGATAATAGATTAACAGAAATTAACAATTAAGTGGTTTAAATCAGACGGATCGATAATGTAAAAACCAAAAACACTTAATTAAAAAATCGATGATCAAAATCGATTAGACTAAATAAAAGAGACTATTGACATAGTTTACTCATTAAAATAATACATTTTTTTTATAAAAGTACACCACGTTAGAAAACATTTAAAAAGATATATTTTATTTTAGAAAAATTTTACAAAGCTCGAAAGTCACTACCATTAATTTAATTTATAAAAATTTAAAATATTAGAGGGTTTAATGTATAAATAAATTAATTAAAATTTTAAAGGTAAATTATTTAAAATAAAGGGTGAACTATATCACTGACCACCTAATTATTTTCTCTTTTCATTTTGACCATTATTTTTGAAATTTTATCAATTAAAGCACTCAACTATTTAAATGCATTCAATTAAGTCACTTGTCGTTAACATTTAACAAAGAAGTTGATGTGATAGTTAAAATATTTGGTATAATTACACATTTGGTCACTGTTACTCATATATTCTATAAATTTAGTCATAATTTTAATAAATTAAAAATAAAATTAGTCTTCAAATCAAATAGTGTCACGTGTCACTAGTGCCAAGTGTAATGACATATGTCACCATCATATTAAACGATTAAATTTATTTTAAATTATTTTTAACTAAAATAAACCACTAATTTTTTAATCACTTATTTTAAAAATATTAATAATGAAAAGTAATAGAGTTTTAAACATATTTTATGTCACAACGATAAGCAATAATACTCTTATATCATTAAATTATTATAGAAAATAGATAATTTTTTTCTATCTTTGATTGATGATTCTTCTCAATAAGATAATCTTCTATATGAATGATATATAGACAATACACATTCTGATCAACTTAGTTTAATTCTAAATGTTTTGTTATGAAGCAATAAAGTCCACTTAACGGTTTGTCCAATTTAGATACTCACAACCAAGAAGAAAAGTTGGAATATTAGTCTAAGTTTATCATTAAATTCGTTCGATATAATAATATTCAGTCTGAGGATGCCAATAATAAAGTTTCAAAACAAATGAACCACTTAACGTCTAAATGAATATTTAACTTACACCACGAAATAAGTAACCTTAGTGATAAAGAAATTATTATTATTATTTGAGAATTCGGGTTTTATATGGTTGAACCAATTACCTTCTTATTGGTGAGAAAAATATATTAAATTAAAAATAAATTAAAATACATTTAATCGTTCAATCGGATGGTGACACATGTAATTACACTTGACAAATAAATATGTCACCATTCGATTTGAGGGTTAAATTTATTTTAATTTATTAAAATTATGACAAAATTGATAAAATATATAAGTAGCAGTGACCAAATGTGTAATTATACCAAGTTTTTAACTGTCATATCAGCTTCTCTGTTAAATATTAACGACAAATGTCTCAATTGAATGCATTTAAATAATTGAGTGACTAGATTGACAAAATTTTAAAAATGGTGGTCAAAATGAAAAGGGACAATAATTAAGTGGTCAGATATAGTTTAATCTTTAATTTAAATAATTTACCTTTAAATGTTTAACTAATTTATAATTATACGTTTAATCTTTTAAAATTTTAAATTTTTATAAATTAAATTAATGATGATCATCGTTAATGACATTCGCCGATGACTCTTCCTTTATTTTAAAACATGAGTAGGGTGAGCCTGGCTCGATGGTTTGGCCTAGGACTGTAAATGAGACGAGACAGATCGTGAGCTACTCGAGATCGACTCGATCAAGGCTCGATAAATACTCGGATCGAATGGACTCGGCTCGAGCTCGACTCGAATTCTTAACGAGCCGAAACGAGCTACGTGATACTCGATTCGAAAAGCTCGCGAGCAGCTAGAAAATATATTAAAAATATTAATGTTTATGTATTGATTTTTTAAAGATAATACATTAAGATTTTCATGCATTTAAGGTTCAGATTCGAGTTTGAGTTTGAGGCTTCAATCGAGTTAAGTTTAAGAATTTTTTTTCTTCATTTCAAGCCTTTTCGAGCTGCTCACGAGCTTCAGTTCAAGATTTCGAGTTCGAGTCGAGCTTGAAAATTTTAAACTCGCAAGTTTTCGAGCCGAGTCGAGCTCAATTTCAAAGTTTTCGAGTCGAGTCAAGCTCAGCAATAGGCTCGTTTACACCCCTAGTTTGGCCTTTGGACATTGGTAAACCAATCCAAATGTAATCCTCACTAAAATACGTCATGCTTCAGTCATACCTTAAACACAATATATTTTTTATTATTTTTAAAAAGAAAATATGTGGATTAATCATAAATAATATAGTTTAGAATAACATCAAAAATAAAATCATGATATTTCAAATTGAAAAAAAAATACTATTCAGAAAAATATAAATAATGTTCGAGTGTTGCCGCGAATGTACAGTCAAACAAGCATCTTTATATTTCAACAGAACTAAAACAAGTACATATTTATTGCAAATTTTAGGTTGATATTTTTGACAAAAAAATTATTCATGTACATGGCAGCAAAACACGAAAAGGATAAATTAATGTAATGTACTCTTAAATATATTTAAATTCAAAAAAATTAAATAATAATAATAATAATAATCTCCAAATGAAGATTTAAATTTTGTTAGCCACCTTGGTTCTTCAATCTTGTTCTTATAGCTTTCAACTTGTTGGCATCCCATCACAATGAAATTAAATATAATAAATAATTGCTTGTCCTAATCCCACCCTACAATATACTTGATGTTAATAAGTCTTATTATACCATATCATGCAACTCTTCTCACATATTTTTTTCCGTAAAAAATATTAACCTTGAACTTCTTTCCTTTGAACTGATGCATATAAGTTGTAACCATTCAACTTGCTAAAATCAAAAGGTTTTTTCTCCCCGAAGATTAGCACTCAAATATAATCAGTTTCAATCTTATTATGATCATCACTTTTTATATATATATGTAACAAGTAGCGGTGCCTGGCCTTGACGGATGTTAAGGATTAATCTGGCAGTAGTACAAGGTGACGACTTCATGGACGAAATTCGGGTTGGCATCATCTTCCAACTCTATGAATTGTTCATCCACAAGTCCCTACGTAATCATTAAAACAGTTGAGAACAACATGCTAATGAAGATTAAAGTGAGATTTTCTTTTCATTTAAAAATGATGAGGAAAACAAACCTTAGCACGTGGGTTTCTCTCCATTGAAAAACAAGCAAAGCTTGGGCAAGAAAATGACTAAACTCAAGTTAACACAAGGAAAGAAAAGGTTGTTGAAGGTGTTGGGTGATAATTGCGGGAAGAAGGGTTCATATAGTAGAGAAATACACAGGAATCGGAGTAGAAAATTGTTTCTTTTGATCTGAGTCTTGATTTTCTGTAATGTGTCTTTTTAACATCCACTGGATGGTAACAGAAATGTAGGTGGGCATATATGATCGATTGGTTTATCGAGGAGCTTTAGAAGGTGGAGATTTTAGTCTCTTTCCAGCGACGGGTTTCATTGATATTGCAACAGCAACTTTTGCTTCGTTTTATTTTGATCAATTTTTTATTAATATATTTATCTCTTAAACTCTTACTTTAACATTTGTTAGTTTTTATTCTTTTAAATTTTAAAAATTTCATTCCTTATTATAACAATTAGATTTGTAGTCTAATTCTATCTTTATCCACCTATTGCATAGGTAAATTGTAGATTTAATTTAACCATATTGATCCTATATCAATTGAGTTAAAATTGACATAATTAGAACATAAAACTAAATATTCAACTTAAATATAGTACGGGATTAAGGACATCATTAACTTTAATTTTGGGGCGTTTAGGCAATTAAGAGCAAAAAAATTCAAAACATCAGTACTTGTAATTTTATTATTTTTGAAATAATTATTTTAGAATGAAACCTAAGTGACACCCTCAAACCCTCTCTCAATTATTAAAAAAAATGAAATCTAATGAGGAGAAGGTTAGCAATCGTTTGAGATGTTTAAAACATTTAAACAGAAGCGAAAATTTCACAGTAAAAAAGGGGAGAATAGCCCAGAACAAGATTGTGTAAAAGTAAAACCTAATACCTAAAATACAAGGGACCTAGATGATATAAGGCCCAAGGCCTTCACTATCATTACCCTTTTGATTATTTGCACTATTGGCTGTATACAGCTAGTATGAATAAATATTTCCCATAAATTATCTTAACCCATATTGTAAACACCCACAATTCTTCACTACTTTACTACCCCTCAAATAAATTATCATATGGTGATGCAAAATTATAATTTTTAAGCAGAACAAGATCAAATTACCACTCTCCTTGGCTTGCATTTTCAGAGGGCTTGAATAGCACCAGTTTTGCCCTTTCTAAAGTCTGCTGCATTTGCATGAAATGCAGATTGTCTTGATGGTTCTCCCAGCAGTAGCAAGGATAAGGGTGAAGGCTCCATGTGCCCATTCACAGTCTCTCCTATTCTAAGATGAGACATTCCGATTAGTTGGTCTACATTGAAGGGTTCCTTTGGAAATAATGGGATTGGCTTCAGTACTTGATGTTTGGATGCCTCTATCTCTATGCCCTTCCCTTCATCGGGAGGGGCTGGATTTGGTGGCCAAAATGCGTAAGGTGAGACTAAACCGTTGACCATGGGTGCCAGTCCACTTGATACCATCATTGTTTCTTCGGTCACTTTAACTGTTGCTTGTGCTGCAGTTTCTGTGTGTTCAAATTCAGAGTCGAGGGAGAGATGTAATGAAGGAGTTGAATTTGAATTGTCTGCTTCTTCTACATGGGAAGGCAGCAAAGCAGGTGCCTGCAAAAGAATTTGGAAGTTAATCAAACCAGAAGTGATGAGAGAAAATATTCTTTTTACTTGAGGAAATATAGAAGCTAGCTTAGTACAGATGACACACCATGCAGCCAACCCCAATTTAATCTGAACTGAACAGCATCAACCCAATTAACAAAAAAAACAAAACAAAATGATACCAAATCTGACCTATGGCCCAATTAGATTGCTCTCTGCTAGCAAAACAAACGCGTCTAATGTTAATCAGAAGCTACACAGCACCCAAACTCAAGTTGGAACAAAAGGCAACAACTTCAAGCCCAAGCCCAAGACCAAGCCCACTCCCAACCCAAACCCAACCACAACAAAGTTCTTCGCCTAGATTGCATATGCTGTTCATCTCTTCTTGTAGAGTGAGATGATTTTATTTTCCCATATAGAATATGGACCGAGATATTCTCCTTAGCACTACTACAAAATTATATTCTCTTCCGTTAATCATGTGGTTGTGTGCAGATATACTACGTTACAAACCAAATGTCATGTGTATGATAGGCTGTGTTGCTATTTCTAGGAAATGAAACACACACAAAAATACATATAAAGAAGCAAAACAAACCATATCACTTGGAACCATGTCGAAAAGGCTTGAACGTCTCTTTCTTCGAGTAACATTACTCTGACGGATGAAATACTTCTGGGCATGACTTGCTACCTGAGTTGGTGTCCTTGATACAACAAAGTTTCGAGCTATCCCCCGCCAGTCCCCTTTCCCTAGTTTCTGCAGGCCAATTAGAAAGAGTCGATGCTCCTCTTCTGTCCATGGAACACCTGAAGCAACCAAAAATCACGGCTAAGAATCAATAATTTAGTTGTCATATTTACATCCCGCTAGTTAAACAGATAAGTGATAAATCATTCCAAGTCCTGCTCTCTTTCAATGGTAATTCGAAAGGTTTTATTTATTTTTTATTTGGAGAAAAAACGGTTGACTCAAAATTATAAGGCACAAATGGTCAACTACCCGTTGATGTTCAAGAAGCAGCTATACAATACTTTAAGCTGCTTGGGAATTCATTCCTTTCCCTGAAAACCAATGATACATATAACTAAACTAAGCACTTCAAAAAGAAAACTAAAATGCAAACTAGTTACCTAAATACCTGAACTGTAGGAGGCATGTGACTTGGATGCCTCAACAGCCACAACATAAGGAAATGTGATGGAATAACTTTAAACTACAGAGCATATCAATTGTTGCTGAAATTGAAACTCAACGCAATTCCGATCATATTTTTGCAAATACTGGAGTGCAGTTATGCTTCTACACAATATCCTCTTGCAAAGACTAGACCAAAGTCTGCTCCACAAATTTCAGCAGAATTCACTGCTCTATGTTCATAGGCATAAGCCAATTTCCCAAAATAGGAGGTAAGATGCAGTTGAAGCCTCTCTACCAAGCCACAACCATATTCTCCTAAATTACTTATCAAGAAGTCTATTTATAGGTCACTCAAACAACTCATGCCTAAAGTATAAACCGTGACAACTCTAACTATTAAGGGAAACTGAAATTAGCAAGTATAAACCATCACAACGTTAGTTCAGAAATAAATGTTAGTATAAGCGGTCTAATCTAAAGTTAAGGCTCTAAGTACAGCAATCAGTGACCCGGCACTCAGCAATTTCTACACTCTTGGCAGGAGTTACTGATAGCCGTTTGATTAAATACATACTAAAAGTTCAGCATACATGGAAAACCAAGATGTTACTTTAGTTCCATATCATATACCAAGAGTGCTGTCATACGCAGCTGCTCATAGTCATACATGCAATGTAAATAAGCCATTCAGGACATGAGTGGAGATCATAAACACAAGCAAGCCTTAAAACCATAAAGCACAATAGGCTAATTAGCTTTTCACCCAGGTTCAGACATGGTGAAGAAAAATTTAATAATTACAAAGCAGCTAATTATCTAAGTATCCCTTATCCATGTGGTCTCCGGAAGGCCAAACTACTCATAACGCGAACATAAAAAGCATGTAAAAAAAAAAAAAAAACTAGGCAAGCCTATTGGGAAACAGGGAAAACAGAAGTAGCCACTTCAACCAAATCAAAGAAATTGACTAAATTAGGAACCAATATCTTTTCTGCAACTTTATTAGCTTAATATACATGCTGGATTCTTGATCCAAAATATATATATATACGAGACTATTTATTCCTTCTCCGATCACGGTTACTAAAAAGTACTAAACATAACATACCAAAAGTATTCGTGGATCGTGCACACTACTTTTTAATACCATTAAAAAGCAAGTGTTCATATAAACAAGCTTTGAAAAAAAAAGACTATTTCGTAGTACTACTAAACTCCAAAAGGTTCTCAAACCACAAATAAAAGGGAAATTTGACAGCAAAATATTCTTAGACAATTTTCATTAAAAATATGAAAAAAATTGTCAGTAAAGAAAAAAAATACTTACAGATACAGAAAGTTAAAAGGCTAATGAGAGTAGGATTAAACAATCATTTTTCATTTAATTTGGAAATAAAAAAAACTATTTTTTGACAAATTCTAAATATCTTAAACATAGGGAAATAAAAATAAGTAACCAACACTAAAGCTTAAAAACAATAATAACGTTGATCATTAACATACTCTGAGTTCTCTCTCACTAAACAACTATAAAAACTTTATCCAATATCCAAATAAACAAACTTAAAATCCTCCCACCCCAAAAAAAAGAGAAAAAAAGTAAACAAAAACAAGCTCAAAACCACGGCGTTTATGAATAATCACCTTTCTTTCTCTCAGCGCGAGGATTAGCAGAAGTGTGTGCAGTGGGCTCATCAGATAGGTACCCTTCTGGGTCGTGGTTCGGGTCACGGACGTGATCCGATGAAGGAGAGCCCGGACAAGGCGAAGCTGCAGCTGACGAGGAGCTATGGTAGTGCGCTGACGACAAATTTCCCATACTGGCACTCTTCTTGATTATCGACCCGTCCGTCAAACGGACGCCGAACAGTTTCACTCCTCCGCAGCCAATTCCGCCACTTCCACCACGCGTGGGACACGCGCGGGAGTTGTGGCCGTTGTTGCTACAATGCGAGCATCGCCGAGTCATGACGCACGCGAGCCAAACCAAATAGCTAAGAACTAATCGAACTTGATCTATTAATCTGTATAAATGAAAAAAAGGATACAGATCAATAAAAACCTGTAAAAGGGGTTGAGAGAGAGTTTGTTTAGAGAGAGAGAGTAGAGAAGAGGGAAGGTTGCATGGAAATAAAGTGAGATTATGGAGGGAGGAGTATAAAATGGGGGAAGAAAAGAGATGGAGGGTAATATGGGAATTTGAATATATAGATCATATTTTCCAGGATTAGAGAATCACGATGCATCGTTCATTGGAGAAAAGTATAATGACGGTTTCGCCCCCTTCAGTGGAAAATAACGTCCTGGTTGGTTTTCTTTTTTCGGGTCTTTTATGTTTGCGCGTGTTCCGGATTTTTCGATTTGTTTTCCCATTAGATTAGATTTCTTTTACTTTGAAAGGGATTATGTATTTATTAAATTTATTTATTGATCTTTAATACATAAATCAAGTAATTAATATAATAAAAAAATTATTGTTATTCTTAAATATTCGATTCGAGTACTATAAATATCAAAATATAAACGTTTAATGTCGAAATATTAAAAATTATCATTGAACAAATATTATATTCTACTTAACTCATATTAATAAAAAAATAATTGATCTTAAATGTAAAATAATAACGTTATTAATATAATATTAACGTTAAATGGATACATTTAATTTCTTGAATATTACAAAATATATTATATACGGGTCTATTTATTTTGAAAATATTTTATTTTTTGCACTTATTTAAAACTAGTTGTATTATATATATATACAGTAAATGAGTTCTCAAATTCAAATTCTAATGATGCCACATATACATTCACCCAATGATGAGAGGATCTTATCTTAGGGTAAAATATTGAAAGGGTTAATTACATGGATGATCACTTATGTTTATGTTTTGTTTATTTTTTAGTCGTTGATTTTAGAAAGCATAGAATATGATCAATTTTTTTTATTTAATTAAAATATATTCACTTTCGTCTTTATTTAATTGATATGTGGTCATCACGGGTTAACTGTTGTTAACAATTAACATAATATGTGATGTAATAGTTGATATAATCACATATTTAGTCCCTATTATTTACTTATATACTTATTCTCTCAATTCAGTTATATTTTAAAATAAATTTTAACATACAATATATATTTTATGCACCAATTGGCTAAGGTTTGAATATTTTTTACCCCAATTTGCTTTCCTTTGTTTTCTTTCAACCAGAGGGTGAAATATTTCACTCTTTAATTGGTGGTACTAAATATATTAAACTAAAATAAAGTTAGTCCTCCAATTGAATGGTGACATGTGCATCATTCGATTGAAGGATTAAATTTATTTTAATTTATTAAAAATATGACTAAATTGATAGAATATGTAAATAACATTGACTAAATGTGTGATTATATCAAAATAATTAACTGTTGTTAACATCAGTTAACTTGGGTAACCACATCTTAATTACATAAAAACGAAAGTGATCCTATCTTATATTTTTGAAATTAGTAGCCAAAAGTAGATAAAACACAAATATAAGTGGACATCCGTGTAGTAAACCCATATTAAAAATAAAAAAACATATGGACACGTAGCGGCAATTGATTGGCGCTATGAGATATGACACGGTGGAATAAGAATCTCATCTGTAAAAACATAAAATCCATTATCACAATAACTTTTTTATTATATTATATTGTAATTATTGTATTCATATTGTATTAACAGAAAATTATGAACAAGGAAGATGAATTAAGAATCTTTGAACTACTTTAAAATCTAGAGAATAAATAATATCCATAGGCAGTATATTAATATCCCTGGGTGTGAACATGGACTTTACAAAAGAGACATCATATGCACTAGTGAACTTTTGCATGTGGTGGTGTGGGATTTGATTTTGTCCCTTTCCTCTCCCCAAGGGAATTTGATTAACTTTAAAAACACTTTTAAGCCATTCAAGTGGCCCTATACCCTGTAGTTTTAGATTCATTACTTTCGGTTCTTGTCTTGTGTAGGCATTACGATAATTTTATCGAATTCAAAGCTTAATAGCACTAGTGTTTTATAAATTTGAATTTTAATCTCAGTTTATAATTTATTATTATTTTTTGATAAATCTTAATTTTATTTAGAGGAGAGAGAAGAGATATAGGAAAAATAAGGATAGTACTATTAATAAGGCTATAACCTATGCCATAAAGGAATATGAAATAACAAAAATAAAAGACTTAATCAACCAACTAAATATATTTACAGTTCGTCTTAAACTCAGAGCGATAATTAGACTATAATACAATAGATAATAAGGTATTAAACTTACATAAAATAATAATGCTTTTCAGTTAAAGAATTATTTATTAAATAAGACATTATTTCTTTTAAATATGAAATAAAAATTTACCTTATTACTATTTTTCTTCTCTTCAAAGGTTACATCTATGGTCAACGAATTCAAAGGTAAGATTAGTAAAAGGAAAATCCAAAGAAAGCTAGACGAAACATCATCAAAAGTTCAAGAAAATGATACTGTCACGAACGTATATCTGGGGATATACTTTTAAATAAAACGAAATTTAATTATTAATAAAAATATATAAAATATCAAAATTTTATTATAATTTAAAGTTCAAAATTATTTTATTACGAAACATAAGAATTAAATAATAGAGAAGCAAAAATATTATTATGAACGTGAGTTACAAAATATTTGAAAGGTGGGGTAATTATATCTCACGACAACTTAATTTAAGGCTAAAGCACGGGAGGAGATGAACGCGATCGAAAATGTTATAAAATTCATAACACTTTCGATTGTGCGTAACCTAAAACGTTATGCAGAATGAACATTTTCGATTACCAACAAAAAATGATATAAAGAAGGTTTTTAACAGAAAAATATTAAGAAAAAAGTTAATATTTTAGGTTACACACAACCGAGAATGCTATGATTTTTATAACATTTTCGACTACATTTTTTCTCGACCTTAAATTAAGATGTCTTTTCTTAGACTCTCCTTCAAAGGTAAGTAAACCGATAACTCAATTTTCTCACGTCAAATCAATAATTTTTTAGGACATTTATAATTTAGATTGTGAATGTTTTTTCAAATGAGGTTTTTCAACGTAAAAATATTATGTTTTTTAGGGGCATGTTGGGAATACTTATAGAAGTGTTTTTGGTCCAAAATTCCTTTTTAAAACATAAAATCATCCCCAAACAATCTATTTTCACCCAAAAATGTTTGGAATTTAATTATTGATTCAAACCAATAAACTGAAAAAGCTCCCTTGAAAAAGCTAGTTTGGAGAAGAATTCTCAAACGGTACTTTTAAGTTAATAATGATGATTCAAACGTGAATTTTTTAACTGAAAATTAATTATTTGAGAATATTTTACATTTTAAACAGAACTTTGGACCAAAATACTTCTACAAGCATTCCCAAATGATCCCTCACCAAACAATTTGGACTTATGCATCTAAATGATTTGAGTTTCGATGTATCCTATTAAGCTAATCCTTTATTTTGCAGATGCTATAAAATAATTTAAATAATAGTTCAAAATTTGGATATTTCGATTTATAACGAGGAAATAAATTTATTAAGTTACCTTAGTGGTTAAAGAAAGTGTTGTTCTTCTTAAAAGTTATACGCTTAAATTATCTGTGATTATGTACGTTGTTAATTATTAAAAAATATTTTAAACAGATAATACTTTATAATCGCTCTAATTATTAAAAGAATATAAATAGAAAATGGGTTTATAATCGCTCTAAATTATTAAAAGAATATAAAGAGGAAATGGTTTAGTAATTCTTTAAACTCAACACGTAAAAAAGTAAAATACTATATTAGGGTTTGATGTCTTTTACTGACTTTTTGGTCAGATTGGGAAACGAATTAAAAGTAGAGGGAATGGAATTTGTGATTTCCCCATGCCATAAGCTTGAAATTGATTTGTCCCGACTCGACTCTTTGATAATTTTATATTAAAAACCTCAAATAAATAATTATTTAAAGAAATAAGGTTCTCCATAATTTATTTGGAAGAATAATACTTAAATCGTCCATATTGGACGACCTCTCAACTTGCAAATAGCATGTTAAATCATCGCACCCTCCAACACGCGAGATACATCCGACGTGGGCGTATTTTCTAGGTAAGCCAATAAAACAATTAGATAAAATGACATCGCGCATTGCAAAGCACGATGTAGCCTTTATGATCCAAAATATTGCGAGATTTATGGGGGACCTCGCGACCTGCAAAGCGCGAGGACAATAGCTCCCTTTAGTTTCCATAGCCTTGTTCGGATACTATTTCTGTTTTATTTTTTTAATTATAAACGAGTGTTGCAATTTATCTTTAAGTTGACTATAATATCAACATGTATAAGACATTTTAAGCGGGGTAAAAATGACATTGAAAATAGTTAGAAATCATGCTTTTGTGAAAGAAGAAAAAAATGGTTTAATAGACATATTAAAGTGTTATTTTTGGCTTGTAAATATGAGTGATTTTAGAATTTATATACTTAGAGGTATAATATTGCAACTTATATTTATGTTAAGATAATTTAACCACATACAAGATATTTTAACGGGGTAAAGATCGTGTTGGAAAATGTTGGAATGCATGATTTGGTGCATGAAAAAATCAAAAGAAATTGAACACTAAGTAATATATTGTTAATTAAAAAAGAAATAATGCAAAAAACCCATTTAATTGATTCATGAGCATGAGCGATCGAGACATTTGTTTTTCGTGTATCCAGAATTCCTACATATAGAGCATAATTTCGGTTGTCCAGTTCTTTCTTGATATTCAACCAAATCCCTGTTACAAAAAATTTGGGTTATCCATGGACGATCGGTTTTTTTCATCGTAGTGCATAATCTGACCGTATTGTAGGTTCATCGTCAGCTTCATCCGGATTCTATCATTTCCAATGGGAGGGAACTCATATTCATAAACATTGAATATAATTTTAAGTAAGTAAACTCGATCAA